TTATTTTGTGTTTCCTAACACTTATTCAAGTTAAAAATAATGTTTGTAATTTCTTTTATCGGTTTATTAGCATTCTATGTAGTGATTCCGAGATCCAAATGAAATTGAGGAATAAAGTATACTAGCCCTAGTCTTCAACTTTGACTTAACCACCTATGAGACATTGACCTAATTTCTAATACTAGGTCAAGTGCAAGATGGGTGTATATGATTCATGAAATGGTCTTCAAGTCAAGGAATGACCCGAATATGGATAATCATTACAGTTAAGTAGTTGTAGAATTCACATACAAATGTGAAATCCAAGTACAATATCCATCGTTTCTAATTATTTCCAAGTTTCTATTAGGTTATAACTTAGATTTTAGTTACTAAGTCTAGTATGTGTCGTGCCTACACGTGCAACTAAGTTTATCAAATCTAGAACTGACTTGAATTTGATGGTTATCATAAAAGGATCTTTCGATACCTCAAAGGTAGCCCTTAATTGGGGCTATGGTATCCTAAAACTCCTGAATTTGACCTATATGCTTTGGCTAACAACAACTATGGAGGGTGTGATTTTGACGGGAAATCAACTTCAAGCGGATGTCAGTTTCTGGGGGTGAGGTTGGTGTCTTGGCAATGCAAGAAACAACAAACGGTGTCAACTTCAACTTTTGAAGTTGAGTATGTCGTTGCATCAGCATGCTCATTACAGGTGGTATGGATTAAACACTAATTGCTAGACTACAGTTTGAAATTTCTTGACACCTCCATATTTTGTGCTAATGATGTTGCGATACAAATTTATAAAAATATCGTTCAACATTCCAAAACCAAGCACATCGATATCAAAATTCATTTTATCTGAGACTGCTATGAGCGTAAACTTGTTCATTTGAAGCAGATACACACTGATAATAATGTGGTAGTTCTGTTTACCAAACCTTTTAGCAAAGCTTGACTTCAAATTTTCAAGATTTGTGTTGAAGGAAATGAATAATAATCTACAGGGAAGAGGAAGCACATATTTTTAATGAACCCAAGGTTTCTTCAACTAATCTTCAATTCTAAATATCCATAATTGAACGGAAAGGGAGAAACTTTGGATTTGAAGTTTCTGGGTCCAAGCACTTTTCGCTTAATGAAGCAGAACCAAAAAGTTTCAAAATTTGTGCTTCAAGGAACGAGGCCCTTAGAGAAGTTTGGTTGTTTTGTTGAGATTGGTGAGGATTCATATTTAGAAGAAGCCTCAGATGATGAAGTTTCTGTCTCTGAGCCAGAAGTTGATATTGTTACTCCTATAACAATTGTTGCAGAGGAACATGTACATGTGCTTGATGATGATAATGATGATGAGGATGTTAATGATGATGTTGCTATTGATGATGATGAAGGTGGTGTTGGGATGGATCTAGGGGATAATGCCCTAGGTTTTGATGATGATAGGGATGATGATGGAGTTGGAATGGGTCAAGAAGGTGATTTATTAGGTTTTGATGATGATGATTTATTCTTTGATTTTGAGCCTATTGGGTGTTAGGTAAGTATACAATTTGGGCCTATCCAACCGTTTTATTAATTAGGGTTTATGTATTTATACTACATGCATGCACCGTAGGAAGAAAAAGTGTTTATCTTTGGAAATCATGTTTAAACCCTAGCACACCTCTATAGCTGAAATTTTTTATTGAGTTCATCTGAGGCGTGACTTTTAATCTTTCAACATATGTCTGATTATTATTATGTTATTTTTTTATCTGTTTGAATTTTATCGATATTTTAGACTTTAATCTCATCAATTGGTATTAGAGAAGCAAACATGTGTCTCTTTGTCAATAGCCGGAGCTGAGTACACTGTTGCTGCATCATGTACATCTTAGGTCATATGGATTTAAAGTCAATTACGAGACTGTGGCCTAAACATAAAGCAAATCCCGCTCTATTGTGATTTCGAAAGTGCAATTCGCATCTGTCATAACCCAATGCAACACTTAAAGATGAAACACATAGCACTGTGGTACTATTTCACCATGGACATGTAGAAGACAGCAACTTAGAGATACATTTCGTACGATCGGCAGACCAGTTGGCTGACATTTTCACGAAAGCGTTGCCTGAAGCGATCTTTAATATAATACTCCAAGGCCTAGTAATAATGGAAGCTGGATCAGTTCCAAAACTACTTTCGCTTTCGCAGTAATCCTTTCTCTTTCGTTTTTATTTTAAGACACGAGAATTGGTGTGAACGCTCGCTCTAGTTCATTTCCGATTTGTTGGACATGAATTAAGACGAACGCTCTTCCTATCTTGTGCCTCAAAATTTTTTTAAAGTGAATGCTCGTGGTCAAATCTTTTTATATACTTTGTATATTAGACTTTCTTCTTTTGTTTTACTTTTCTCTAAAGCTTTCAAAATTCAAAAATATTTTATTTCTATTTTTATTTCTTTTTCAGAAAAATTCCAAAATACAAAAATATTTCCTTTTTGTTTGTAATTTCGTTATTTCCTTAAGTAGCAGTGCAGGTTAGAGTGAAAAAATGAATTATAGGGCAGGTATTATATCTATATCTCTGTACTAGCTAAGTGTCCCTAGAAGCATGTTGTTGCATGTTGTCTAAAGCCACAATAGACTCTATGTGAAGCCATAATGAATCAAATCTACCATTCATTTCTTCTAAACTAGGTTGGTAAATTCGCATTACTCATGAGCTACCTTACTCTTTTCACATCGAGTTAAGAGTTTTCTGCTTGGTCACCTTTGTTTAGCAGAGGTAGTTTCGGTTCTTTAACCACCTTCATTATTCTCCATTTGCCTTCGTACTCATAATTGTAATCCTTGAGACTCTAAGCTATACCACTGAGGTTTACGGTTACAAAACATTTAAATTAATGGTCTTAGCTTCATTCACCACGAGCTGAGTGAAACCTAAAATCCAACACACTTGAACGAATTGACGGTGAAGTATTAAAAGTTCTAACTTTCACCATGGAATTAACGAAACTCCACCTTTGTGGATTGTACCACGAAATATCTTTTGCTTTTTGCGAGATCTTTATGAATTGTTCTTATACTAATACTTTTCTTCCCATAAGATCCAATTTTAATTTTTTTGAGATTTCACACTTTCATCTAGTCACTAAAATAATTCCAAGCCTACTCGTTCAACTGACTACACTGGTCACACGATTCCTTCATCCAACATTCGTACTTATATTGAGTTTTTCGTTTGTTTGGAGAGTCAGCCACCCTATGAGCCAAATTAAAAGATGCCTTTCATTGTTTCTTGACAAACAACTGATCGTACTTCAACAGGAAACCAAACAGACACTTCATAGTATCTCTTGACTTTAAAGGAAGAGATTTGTGCCTAGGATCCATAGTTTCATGTCTTGTATGACATCACCAAAATCCCAATCATAAATTTGATTTATTTCTTTATCTTTGGCACACTCTTGCATGAAGATCTTTATAATTTTCCACAGTCTAGTCTGTGGCACCTATGTTTCTTTGCTTTCGTAGTAATAGTTGGTGCTTGTTTTATGTGTCACTGTGATGAACGTTTCTCTAAAGTGAACGAAAATTCAAAAGTTATTTGAAAGCGCCATAGAGAATTTGAATCGTTGGGGATATTGATGATGCGACTTTTATGGGATAAAACTTCAAATTTTGGGCGCGTGGAATTTGAACGGTTTCCATTCATCACGCCTTCTGACACCTTTTTCCAAGGGCTATAGCTGTCATATCACGAGTTATCATGTGCTTTTTTAGAGATGACATCATTATCGAAGTTTTAATTTTTAAGGTTATCCTATAAAAGGAATTTTGTTTCATCCTTTATTCCTTACCGTTTCAAAATATTCTCAAGAACCCTAAAGGTAATTTCTGCTAACTGTTCATCTTCTTCTCCGCTCAGCAACAATGGCTCTTTCTTTGTCAACACATGAACAATCCACTCAATTATCTCTCGTCACCATCAAACAAAATCAAAACCTAATTATCAAATTGAATCCAGTCAAGTAAGACGCATACATGTTACTGATTATCAAACGCCTAAAGTACTCACCTCTAGTAACCACTCTAACCAAGCTTAAGAGTGTTTCGATGTCCCTACTCTCCAAAGTCTATTCTCCAACAGCCTACACCAAAGAGGAGGAACGGATTATCTTTGAGATTTATGAGAAGAAGACTTTAATTTCAAATGATAGGTTTTGCTCTCTTCTAGGGCTTGCTTTTTTCGATTCAATGGTGAACCCAAATTCAATCTGTACTGCTCAAATTGTGGAAATGTTTTATCAAATGGGGTACACTGAACTTATTACCTCCATCTCCAAGTTCGTAAAACATAACCTTCCTCTTCAATGGAACGGTCTCTTTAATCTACTCTTTAAGGGTTTCTCAGAAAGGGTAACTGGGTCTGATTGTGAAACTAAACTGTTCATGACCATCATCGATGGTCTATATCATGGCATTAATTAGGACTATGTGTCAGTTTTATGGACTCAGCTGGTGCAAAGCACTAATTCCACTACTCGATATAGTGAGATTTCCTGTTCTTGATTTTGGGCCATTGTGGTGCAAAGGGAAATTAAAAAATCAACATTCCCGTTATGGCAAACTCTCTTATGTCTTCAATCTTTACATTTCACACCACCAAGATTATCATTGCTGATACCTCCAAGTTTTCATTTGTGGGATCAATTCCTGAATCCATATATAGGTGTATATCTGGTGCAAGTAAAATCATTATAGAATACAAGAAACTTCAAGGTTCGGATCAAAGGTTTATCACTCCCAGGATGCAGCACACTCTTGATGAAGCTGATAAGGTTAAGAAAGGGGGGAAACCAAAACAACTGAAAGAGGGTCTGTCTACCCTAGCTTATACTCTCAAAAAGTGAAATACGAAAGGCGATTCTTCAAAGCCTACTCCCTCTTCTCCAAAATGAAAGCTCTTCAAGAAGCCATCTCGTCAGGTTCACCTCTCTTCTTCAACAGCATCTAAAAACGAGTCTGATGATTCTCATCCAAGCGAATCTGAGGAGGATCAACCGAAACAATGAAGAGGTAAATTCTCTATTCCATACCCTCCACCATCACCTACTTCAAGCTATGTTCCTATCACAATTGCACCTTGCCCACCTACTGTTACTTCTCAACCACCCACTTCTATTCCACAACAAAACCCTTTTTTCACTGAATCAACAACCACTACGACAACCACAACAGGTGTACCTTTTTTTATGTCAAGGCATCTGATGCAGGGGTAAAGACATCGGGTTTTGAAACCTTCTTTACAACACCTCCCACTTCTCAACCTCAAGATGACCCTGACATCCCTCTCGGTGCTGATGGACTCGACTTTGACACTTTTCATTATAGTCTATTCTCAGTCCAGGGAGAAAGCGACGATGATGCCCCTGTGACTCAAAGGCATATTAGGGCACTTTTTAACAAGTTGGAATCTCTTATTGCTTCATCTACTGCCACTTCAATCCAAGCATATTACGAAGCAGCAGTTAAGGGTATGCTCAATACTCTTAAGAAAGAGCATGCTATCAATCTTGAAAAAGCAAACAAATCGGTTGAAGACTCTACTCTCTCTTGTATGCAAGCAACCGAAAAATTCGATTAACTAATCTTAGAAACGAAGACCTTTATGACCGAGATCCATATTGCAGCTGAATAGAATGATTCCAAAGTGAACGATGCGATTACGAAACTGAGTACTTTGCTTCGAATAGAAAGGGAGAATCTGGAAAAGCTTCATACCGATATCAATGCTGACAACACATCATTTCCAACTTCAATTTCCTCACGGCTTACCAAGTTCCAAGAAGACCTAGCTGTTGAAAGTAAAATAATGGATGAACTTGCTCTTCGAACAAATCAACTCATATCTAAGTCCATCATGCTCAAGAACGTGAAGAAATAAATTGAGGATCTAAAAACTGAAACAACAATTTTGAAAAGTTGCTTGGGAGATGTGAATACATTACTCTCTAATCTTCTTGAAGCACATGATCCTATTCTGACCATTAGTTTTTGTAGAGACTTGGCATATAAGCTTCATCCATATCTTGCTCTTCTTAATAGGATTGAAGGTGTTTCTGAGGCCCCTGTCCCTCTGAAACAAGGAGGAGAAGATCCAGTTACTAAGAAGTGGGAATTAACTAAAAACACAAACGAACCGAAGGGTAATGTAGCTTCGGCGTCAGGTTCAAAAGGAAAGAAACCAATGGGGGGATGTTGATGAAGAAGAAGAAAATGAAGAAGTTCAACTGAAATGAAAGGTTCGCGATCATGAGTTAAATGAAAATGCTCGCATTGCGATAGAAGCTGAAGAGAAGGAGAGAAAATGAAAAGAAGCTCATTACGCTTTGGAGATCATAAAAACGTTCTTTTCATTGTGGATGTTGGAGCGAATACTACACGAGGTTGTCGAATTCCTGAGTGTTCACTGGTTGGAGCTAGTGATTTCTTTTGATTTGGAAAACACAAAGGATTCTTAGTTCGACATGCCCATAACACAAAAAGCATTCTACTTTCATTGTTTTGAATCTATGGCAACAGTCCCCTCTCCTGATATGAAAGTGGATAAAGCCTTAATTGAGTTTTATCTCACTCATTGAAAACCATAGTATCTGACCTCGAGTTCTCAGAAGATAACTACAGTCCAATTTTCAGGGCCAATTGTTACAAGAGGTTTTGTGAATGCGAAGTTCAAGGTAACAAGAAATTCTGAACATGTTTTTGCACGAATTCACGTTTGTCGATCTGCCCAATCTTAATCCTCATGACTGGATTCTGCTGGTTAATTTTTTGTTGATTGAATAACAAAAGTAGAAACCCATTCTGGCTCACATAAAGAGAATGTTGGTTTCATATATATATATATATATATATATATATATATATATATATATATATATATATATATATATATATATATATATGTATGTATATAAAGTGGTGAAGCTTGACACCGAAAAAGCTAATGTTTTGAAATGAAAGCCCACTCTACCGATTGGAAGAGCAAGTGACATGAGTGAAATGAGAATGGGTAGAATTGATTTAGAGCACCACACAATGATGTTCCAGATTGGCAAGGATGCTTCTGGTTCATTTCAAAAATGTCTTTTTGCTTTAGTCGACAAACAGTTGTTCTCCACGTCTTGTTTGTAACACATTTTCGAGATTGTCAATAACTGTAAATCAAATGATGCAGCTGTGACAAAGAATTTCAATGATATGATTCGGTGGTACATCGTCTTCTATAGTACTTTACTCACTGTGCTTCCCAAGCTTTTCAAGATGATCAAGAAGACTCAGCAATAAAACACCTCTCACCCCAATTGATGCAAATTGCGAGATTGTTTGGTGTTAGGTGTTGCCTCATTGTGTTGTTTTGTATATAGTCCAATAAGTATACGGTTTGGGCATGTCCAGCCGTCTTATTAATTAAGGTTTATGTATTTATAGTCCATGCATGCACCGTAGGAAGAAAAAGTTTTTATCTTTGGAAATCATTTGTAAACCCTAGCACGCCTCTATAGTTGAAATTCTTTTTTGAGTTCATTTGAGGTGTGACTTTTAATCATTCAACATCTGTTTGATTATAATTGTGTTATTGTTTTACCTGTTTTAATCTTATCGATCTTTTAGATTTTAATTTCATCAGTGTCAAGCAATGATAACCTTAGCTCATTCTTTGACAATTTTGATGATGTTGTAATCACTTCAACGGAGACTCATGGAGATTCAAACATTTTCAAGCTACCAAGTCAAACACCCAATCATATGACAAATATTAATGACAAACTGGATTCAACTGCGAGGATTCCTCCCTGAGCAGTTGCTATTCTAATAATCATTCCATCTGAAAGTGATCCACAAGATACACAAGCCTCCCAGCCTCCTCTTAAAAAGTAGACGTGCAGATCCAAGGATGGTAGTGCTCATCAGGGAACAAGCTCAGCCTGCTCTTCAATCAACTACATCCGTTACACCTACCCAACTTACTCATGTGGATAGACCTATACTGAAGGAAGGTCCAAGTGTTGTTCGTTCTTCCTTTGAAGCCGGGAGCTCTTCAACTCCTCAACATGTGCACGATGCATTCTTTGAACGACTTTCCAGATTTTTGTCTCATGAAGGTGTTGATCCTGCACCCAGGGGCAAAGGAATATAAATTGGTGCAGGGATCCCTGACAAAGAAGACTCAACGATTTTTTAACTAAAGGAGGAGATTGGACTCTTAAATCAAAAGCTCATTGAAAAAGATGTTTTAATTGGAGCTCTAGATATTAGATTTTCCGAGCTAAAGAAAGAAAATGCACAAAAATCAAAACAAATATTCGACTTGCAACTCAATCTTGGTGCTTTAACTGCTGGTTATTTTGATCTGAAGAACAAGTTAATAAGAGAATTAGGCGACAAATTCAAAACATCGGTCGGTGAACCAAATGAAGCTGAGGCTTCCCATTGTGCTCCTGCCAATCAAATCAAGATCCACAAGATGCTTCTCAACCTGTCAGAACGACCCGTATTGTTGATCGTTTTTAAAAATGAACTTGCTCAGACTGTTCATGAGTAACTCTAAAGCAAGATCACACACAAGTCTCTACACAAAGAAAAGGGAATCTGGTCTTCATGAATAATTCATATAAAAATCTTTGTGGAGATCAGCCCCGATTGAGTGTGACTGATGTCGAGAAAAAGAGGTGCAAGGTCAAGTTTGGAGATCGGTCTGGAATTTTGATGTGGGGATTTCAGAAAAAATTTAATATCTTGGTGGTCAGGAGGAAAGGTGGAAATGTAGAGTACTATAAGCACAAAAATGACTTTAATTCTTGGACTTAAGTTAACTTTACTAATCTTACTGAAGCTCCATTCCACAATCTAACGAATGATCCTCGCGGGTCTGAATTCAAGCTCTTTTTAGAGAACCAACTAAAGAGGAAGTTTGATGGAATGAAGACCGAAAATTCATTTGTAAAGAAATTCAAAGGAGTCTTTGATCCCAAAACCAACCAGACAGTAAAAACTGTGATGTGGCCTCCATTAAAGCAAATGTGTCAAATTCCTATTGTTCAGCAGTTCCAAGATGGGTCTCTGCACAATATGGAATATTGGGTTTATGATGAGGCCACAGCCACCATAGTCATCAAATTCCTTGAAGGTGTTTTCTGTCTTTTTGAAGAAAAGGAACTTGTGCAGTTTGGTGAGCGCGACATCCGTACTTTAGCACAATATCAGATCGTGGTGAAGGATGAACTTCTAGAGGTTTCCGCCAAAGAGTTTGTTGGTATAGTCATTGAGATTATTAACAAAAACATGTGGGTAGGCTCAATGGGGAACTCATATGTTTTATTTATCGATAAGGATTGACTTCATTCTAGCCTCAAACCAAGGAGGAGACTGTTAAGACTTGTTTGGTTGGTTTTAGCTAGGAATTTATGTTTTGTAGGTTTTGTTACACTTCGTATAGGTGTTTTGTGGGTGTTTGGTTGGGTGGACTGAAAGCGTCTTGTTTTTGGCCCATGTGGTGTTTTCGGCCGCAAACTCTTTTGTTGTTACTGTTCCCTATAAATAGTGTCTTAGATTGTCAGTTGTCAGTAGCGGTTTTCTGTCAACTGTGTGCGTATTGTCCATTGCACCTGATATTTTCAGTTGATATAAAACGTGTACATTTGGATTGATCTTGCCTCTACTCCTTGTCTTATCATTTTGGCTTGTTTATTGCATTGATCACTAGTTGGTACTTAATTTAGGGACTTACAAGATTTTATCAACACCACCCGAAAATTCCTAAACCTGGAACCAAAAAGCTTTTACTAAAATATAGCTAGAGAAGAAAGAGTAAATGAATATTGAACTTTCGACAATGGATGAGGAGACCTAGAAAGAGGTTGTCTCTTAGAAACAGAATAGGGGTATACTTAGGATCATGTACTTCAACATTTGACAAAGTGGGTGTCTCCTCGACGTGTTTTAGTTTAGGATCGGTGATTATCGGGTACTCATAAATAGTAACTGTTGAAGATGGCTCCAGGGAAATATCAGAATTTGTAGACTCAAGTGATGGTTCAATACCCAAGCTAACCAAACCGCATCCTTTCGAATCACCACAAAAAATGGTCCATTTTGGTTTTGGGGTGAGTGGTCAATCAGATTGTTGGACTGATCCATCGCGCCTTCCATATTGAGGGTTTTCTCTACTACAACCCTTGGTTTCCAAGCACTTCCTTAGTATAAGAAGAGGGAGGTTTCTTGTTGAAACAAGAAAGTGACCCTCTTCAAATAAGATGGACCTGAAGACCTAATGCTTTGTGAACACGAGGAGAGTTACCCGAAGTCTGTTTTGTCACATTATGGAACTGAAGACGAAATTATGACCCAGAGTCGTCTGCAACATGAAGACTATCACAAGTTACCTTTCTCACTTTGCTTTTAATCTTAGTATCATCTAGTGTACTTTTTAGGGTCACCGAAGTCAGCTACTTTGCAATAGTTTATTACTTTCTCATAACTATTGGGATTCTATAAATAGGGCTTCTCACTTCATGTTTACTTACCAATTTCAGAGCTTATCAATATATAAGATCTTTCATCTCTATTCTATCTAAAGTTATCAGTATTGATACTTTAACCTAGTCCCTCTTCACTTATTTTTCTCATCAAATGCTAACTTGTGTTTGATTGCAAACCATGTTACCATTCAACTAAGTGTCTACGTGTTTAATTCATATTGATATAAACTTGCTACTATTTACATTGATATTAACTTATTATTCTACAATATATCATCTCATTACTAAATTTTATCATGTTTTTCTCTAAACAATTGGTATCAGAGCCAAAGTGCTTGCATTTTAACTCCTTTTAGAAAATCTAAGCTTTTCTCAAAAACTATGATTTAAAAGGCTTTCTATA